AAATAACTATTCTTTAAATATATGATAAATAATAGTAATAATCTAACTGAAAATGTTACATTGAAGTGTCAGCAAATTGTCAACCCATTATATTATATTACAGTTAAATACACAAACCTGAAAATTTAGATACTCATTTTGGAGGTTTATGAGGACTCTTAACTGTCATAATGTGCTTTATACTCTAAAAAAGAAAAAAACACTTATTATTTTGCCCTACCCTAACCCTCACAGCAAATTGTTAATGTGAAAAGAGACCCTCCTAAGTATGAGAGTTTTGAAAGAGGGCATGTCCTAATAAACCACCGCAAAATTGTAATATTTAGATCAGAGATGCCCAAACTAGGGCCTGGGGGCCAAATGAGAATGATGGAGAGGGTTTCAAGATTGTCATTTCAAATGCAATGTAATCCTTTGTTTGTTTTATTGTTAAAAGGTCTCTGAAATTAAAGGTTTCAATTAAATGGTGTAAATTAATCAGATTTTGTATAAATGTACACACTGTCATCCGAGAATGCAGAGAATTTGGTGAGCAAATCAATTCTGCTTGACCAGTGTATTCTGCATTGAACTCCACTGTGTTATAAATGTGATTGTTTATGCTTTTATTGCAGTAAGTTATCATTTTGAGTTATACTGCACTAGATAATACAATTTAAAGTAATGTTTTATATTTATTTTGAAATATGAAATAAATTAGGAAATTACCCATGGCAACTTTCATGTAATATAGTTTGGTATATGTATCTTTGTCCCACGGTTATCAATATTTGGTTTTAGCCCTTCATGTGAAAAGGTTTGGGCACCCCTAATTGAGATCATACCCATGTCAGCAATGTATGTATGTATGTATATGTGTACGTACGTACATACGTACGTACGTACGTACGTACGGTTGAAGTCAGAATTATTCAACCGTAAACACAACCTTTGAAATATTATTTTTTAAAACATTTTAAGGTCAAAATTATTAGCCCCTTTAAGCTACATATTTTTTCAGAAAGTCTACAGAACAAACCATCTTTATACAATAACCTGCCTAATTACACATGCCTATTTTTTTTTTAACCCAATTAACCAAGTTAAGCCTTTAACTGTAACTTTAAGCTGTATAGGTGTGTCTTGAAAAATATCTAGTCAAATATTATTTACTGTCATCAAAGATCAAATAAATCAGTTATTATAAATGAGTATTAAAACTATTATGTTTAAAATCGTATCCATATTAAACAAAAATTGGGGGGGGGGGGGGGGGGGGATAAACAGGGAGGCTAATAATTAAGGGGGCTAATAATTCTCACTTTAACTGTATATATTAGTGGTCCACATAAACCACCAAAACAAGTACCTGCACACACAGCTTTGATTAAAAGGCCACTTGAGTATTCCCACTTTCTCTGCATTTACTATTTATGGATTCCTGTTTGAGTAAAAGTTGTAATAGGTTTATATATGTTATATATGATAAATATAAAATATGTATTTATTTCTTATACAATAAAACTGTTATTAACTTCAACCAAACACATTTTTAAATCCAGAACATTTTAAGATTTTCAAGTATATATAACATTTATTAAATACAGGTAAATCAATTAGATCTTGGATTTTAGAAGTCTTAAAAGAAGTTCATCCAAATGAAAATTCTGTTATTAATTACTCACACTTGTGTCATTTCAACCGCCTGAAACTTTTGTTCTTCAGAACACAGATTAAGATGTTTAGGTGAAATCTGAGAGTTTCCTCATTTTTGAGACTCATTTTTGTCGTGCACAATATTCTGACATAGAGGAGACTAAACTGTTGAATATATGTTTTATGAACTTATGTTTTATGTGTGCACAAAATTATTCTTTTAGGTTGATAATATTCAGGTTTAACCACTGAAGGCATATGATCTGTTTTTGCGAATTTGTTTTTTGTGGTATTTGTCTTAACCTTAAACTAGTCGGGAACCTTGCTGTCTATGGAGGATGATTTAGATTTTGCTCTCATCTAAAACATAATCATTTGTGTTCCAAGGATGAATGAAAGTCTCAGAGCCATTTGGAATGACATGATGGAAAATAATTAATAACATAATTAAACAATTCCTCAAGACTTTCCTGACAGGGATCTTGGACATGAATTTATTTTAAAAATACTCAGTGTTTCTTAACCCAGAAATGTTTTAATCATTACTTATTTTTCGACTATTGTTTGAAACTGTAATTCACAGCACCTGTCTCATGTCTCCGAAGAACAGGTTCCCCTCGGTGAAGTCTTTACCAAGTGATACATTGAGAGTGACTTCAGAATTGTCGTAATGATAGCTCAGATTCAAGTCTTCATGCATATCGTACTTGACCACGAAAGCCTTGTGACTGTCCAGACAGTTTCCTCCACAGTCACTGTAGAGCAGAGCAGTGAGTGGACGCAGATACACCTCCCTCAGTGGAGTGATGAAGCCCTCATCAAAGCCCAGCTCATTCAGAACAATCTGTTTCATTTACAAAGAAGCCAAATAACAATTATTATTATTGGCATACAACTAATAACAACCAGGCCAAGATTAGTCTAATGTGTGATTAGAATATCAGACTGAGGCACACAAGACACAGACATGCTGTGGTGTCTGCAGACTTACAAAGAAATAATAGTAACTTAAAATATAACTTAAAATAACGCTAATAATGGAATAAAGAATCTAAAAATAGTATAATATAATAATAAAAATAAACACTAAATAAAATGAAAAACTAACTATACCAGTAAATATACCTATAGACAGAATTATGAATGTGCAACTATAGAAAAGAATTATAGACTACTAAGAAATCCCCAGTTCCACTGTATTTACTGAATTATTTAGGTATGGCTTTGAGTAAAATATGAATATTTGTTTATTATGTAATGGCCTGGTATATTTTCTGTATATTTATTCAATGTAACAGTCTTTTAACAGCATTTATTAGTCAGTTCAACATTTACTAATGCACTATTAAAATCCATAGTTGTGTAAAAACATCAGTTAACACTTTAAATTACTATTTTTTCTTAAGAAGATTACGTTTAGAATAACAAATGTTTTTTGTGTGTTGTGGCTGAAAATCAGGGTTATTCCAACAAATATTGATGATAATTAGGAAAAACATACTTAAACCAACCTGCACCTATTAAGCTATATAAAATGTGATTATACTCAATTTTATTATTATATCTTAAATGATGGAAAACTTTCATCCAACTGCTGACAATTGGGTTGAAGTGGCTTGAAGGGTAACACTTTACAATAATGTTCCAGTAGTTCATGTTAGCTAATGTATGTACTAACATTAACTAAGAATGAACAGTACTTTTACAGCATGTATTAATCAGTTTAACATTTACTAATGCATTATTAAATTCCACAGTTGAGTAAAAACAATAGTTAATGCACTTTGAGTTAACAGTCAACAACTTTATTTTCACTACCTAATGTTAACAAAGGTGAATAAATAAGTAATAAATGTATTGTTTATGTTAATAAATATATTAACTAATAGAAAATAATTGTAAAGTGTAAGCAAAAAGAATAAAGTATCAAGAAAAAAACAACTAAATTATTATTTAGAGGCTGAACTATGATCTTTAAATTTAATATGTCATCAAATGTTCCTTGTTTTATTTAAGCCTAACAATATTTTATTATTATTTATTTGTGTTACACTAAATTATATTTTAGTGAGTGTCTCTTGCAAAGTCCTTGACCTTTATAATAAAACCTTTACCCCATAATTGTTCATGGTGTTCGGCCTGCCCTTGGGTGCATCCGACTGTTCAAAATGCTCCAGCTCTTCTAGAAGGTCCTTGCAGAATTCCTTTCGGAACACCTGGAACCGAAACACTCTCGAAGCTGCGAAATTTTCAGTAAACAGAATTAGTTAGCATGTGATTTTTCCTTCTTATTAATAAATTGGAACACGTGTAAAGCAGCAGCTCACCTGCCTCTGTCTGGATGAGTTTCAACAGTCCTTGCACATTTGCTTCACTTGAAGCACAATATTTGACCATCTCTAAAAGCTCTGGGGCTAAGAAAGATTCCTAGAGATGATAAATTATATTCCAGTAAGTCAGTGGACGACATAAATCACAGACTGCCCGTGTTGCTGATCATAAGTACCTGAAGATGATAAACATGTTGGTGTAGAGGTGTATAAATCTCCTTGATGACAGCTGCTCTCTCTGTAGATTTCAATTTATGATTTTGGCGTCTTTCGATTTCTGCCTGAATCTATAAATACACGAGTGAGTGAATAACCGCTCTCTGACAGCCTTGATCTTCATCGTTATCGCTGTTCTCGAGAGCACACTTATTACTCACCTTTCCGATCACGTCTCTGAATTGGGATTCAGACTCACAACCCAGGGATCTGAGGATCTTAAGCAAATGTCAGCGAAGTTCAGACGGAATTGGCAAACTGTTTAACATGAAGACATGAGCCCGTCTTGCTGTAAATTACTTACATTTTGATAGTCCTTCCTAAACTGGTTCTCTGAGACGAAACGAACATGAAGTTTGTATTCTTCAAGAAAAATATTGTCTGTGAAAAAGCAACTGCATGTGTAAAATCTCTCCATGGCGTATATTATAAGTCAAATAACACACTGTTATACATTTATACAGACTTAATATGTATGATTTGTGTTTTTAAAATATTTTAAAGGCAATGAAAACACATTATGACCAGAATGGTTGAACTGTCAATCTGTTTAGAGCTCCGCACGCTTATGTGATTGTTTTGGAACAACCCAAAATTGTGTCCGTAGAGAAACAAAAAGCTTCGCTCATTTAACATAGGATTTATATCGTCAGCTTTAATAATTGTTCACTTCTATATGAGTGGAACTATTCTATGCATATTTAGTCATTAGTTCGTATCTGAAAAAGCGCAATAAATTAACGCACAGTGATAAAACATTTGTTATGTTTACTTCCTGGTACGCCATCCAATTTCTTCCGTCCTACTGTTGTTGTGTGCACTTTATGTTGAAGAGGGAGCTCTTTCAGAAACACGTTTTCAATGTCCCCAGTATTAGTGTGTATGTAGTTTTGAATTTGAAATTGGAGGATTATCTGTCTGTTATGTATTTAAAGCCCGGGACCGTGTGTTCGCAGCACAATGTTGAGTGTGGACTCGTTGCCAGTGGCCGAAGAGGAGGTTGTGGAGTCCAGCTCAAACAGACTGGGGGACATTTACACTTTTGTTGCCGAGGGCTGTTATCCTCAAACTATGAATCCTATTCGCAAGAAAAATCTCAAAAGATACGCTCAGAAGTTTATTATTGACGGTAAGTACTAAACGAGTACATTCAGTATTCGGTGGTTATATATGGGTCAGAGATTAAACAAACGTTTTTCATTCATTAATGCTGTAAAAGCAATGTAGATTTAACATGTTTACCGTAGTGTAGAATGTGTCCTGTTGTTTATCTCATCAAAACATAATCATACATGTTTATCATGATTTAGAGAAGATTAAAATGATTTTAAAGTGTCATTAAGAATATCAGTAGTTTAAAGCCATACAATATTTTCAGGGAACAAGAATCATTTGATGAAATATTAGGAGATTTAAACCTTTTCATTTGCCACTAAAATTTCAAGGTTCTGTCAGTAAGAAGGTTTTTACTGAGAGACTGAACTGGAGTTTATTTATGACACAGTAACTATCAACTGTGTATTAGTTTGCATTATGGTATATCTTAATGCAGTTTCAGTACTAGTGTGTAAAACACTTTTCCATGCAATTGTTAACCTTGCCATTGTGCTGGATGCCTTTATTTAATACCCAAATTAAATAAAGAAACCAGAATCCTCTCTTGGCTATATTTCTTAGCTAGAGTTTTGTTTAGGACCATATTTTGTAATGTTGTTCAAGAAATAAATTAGATTCATACCTTACCACACAAGGTATCTTGAACTTACATAAAGTTGGTTTTATATTTGCACATTCAGTCTTTCTCATCAATAATATAATCTCCAAAAATTATGAATTAAAAATTCTAAATATTGAAATCATCCTAGCAGCCAACAACCATTAAAGTGCAACAGTCTTTAGTGTTTTGAAGTCATACTTGCATGAGATTTCAGTCTGAATATTCAAAGCACCATGCTAAACAATGTATGGAGATGTCACTGAACGAATGTGTGAATATAAAACAAACTTCACCTAAGTGTATCTTGATGGGTTCTGCAAATGAAGCCAATGTCCACTCCAGTGAAGAAAATTAATAAAATACAACTTTATTAATAAACAAATCCAGTGAAAAGGTAGAATAAAAACAATCACAATCACAATAACAAAACAAAATCCTTTACAATATTCTCCACTGAGAATAAATTGGCCTAAGACATTCAGTATATAGAAGTCAGTTAAACGTGCCGCTGTTCTCTATGCTCTAGCTTTTAATACAGTATTCAATCCTTGAATACAGGTGTGTTTTTAATGTTTTAAGATATCAGTGTTTTATATACTTGAGGATATCTGTTAATACATAGAATAAATCAGTTTTTGTTTTATCTCTAATGTGAGAGACTTGAATTAAAACATGGCAAAGCATTTCTTCTATTTCAACAGCATTAGGGCAGTCTTTCAGGAGTCTTGTCCTCCAAGGACAATGCTTCTAGTTGTGATTTTAATAGTTTGTCAGAAGTGTCATCTGGACCATTTCCTCCTTTATGGTCAGCATAATATTTAGCAGAAAATGCCCTTGTCCTCTTCGAACTCTGTCAAGGCACCTTTGTCCTCTTTTATGTTTCCTCTTATTGCTAATAGCTGTTTTTGTAAGCATAGGAATACTTGAATATGTAAGTTAGTTTTAGTGTCTTTTACAATTAATGTCATTAAACCATCCACACACTGCATCATAAAAAAAGATTTTCACCAAAATAGTGAATGTCTTTCTGAGTACTGTAAAATACTCAAAAATGTGTCTGTAAATGTTTTCAAACCATTTGATTTGATTTACCAAAGTCACACAAGTGAAAATCTTACATCTGCAACATCCATAACAAAGTTTTTTTTTCTCATAAATGCAAAAATATACAATAAAATAATTAGTTTTTGTTCTTTAGAGAGCCAACTCTTATCCTTTTGATTAATATTATTTATGTTGGGTTGTGCAGTTTAATTCAGAGAATTCCTACAAAATGCGTTGTATAATATAAACTCGCATACTTCTTGGTTACATCCATAATGCATGTTTAATTCTCTCATTTAAAATATAAAACACGCTTACAGATTGATGTTTTTCCGATCCCTTAACTCTGATAAGTTGTTTTAAAAAATAGAAAGTGATGTTTTAATAAACTGGTAACATATGAGCAATTCAGTGCAAATGTCAACCTTGCCATGAAAAAAAATTTCAGTTTTCAAAAAATCCCAGAAACAGTTTTTGTAAGCAAGAATTTTACAGTACTTTAAAAATACTTATAAATGTATCTGTCAGTGTTTCAAACTATTTTATTTAATTTGCCAAAATCACACAAGTGGCAATTTCACAGTTGTCACATCCATAACGGAGAAGTGTCACATTCATAACGACACTTTTTTCCTCTTAAATGTGAAAATTTTTAATTAAATAAAACCAATAATTTTTGTTGTACAAAGAGACAACTCTTATCCTTTTGATTAGCAATGTTTCTTTTGGGTTGTGCAGTTTCATTCACAGAATTTCTACAAAGTATTCTGTGTACTGTAAACTCGCAGACTTTTTTTGTCACATCCATAACGCATGTTTTTTTTTCACAATTAAAGTACAAAACATCTTTACATATTGATATATTTCTGGTCCCATAACTCTGTGGTCAGTTGTTTTGGAAAATATAAACAAAAGTTTCAATATAATGTTAACATATGCTTTCTGTGTGAATTTATGTTTAGAGTTTTTACTGCAAATGTCACATCCATAAGGCTGGAATTGCTCATATACATTCTCTGTGAATTTATATTTATCTATGTTTCAAGTTTTTATTGCAAATGTCACATACATAAAGCTGGAGTTGCTCATAAGCAACTTTTCACACATTACTGTTTAGCTTATCTTTCTGATCCTACTAATCACTATGATCTTCTCACCAATTACTAATTTACCTTAAACACCAAAGATGGCCGGCTGTATTATGTGGGACCAAAGAAAGAAGAGAAGCGAGAAGTGGTGATTGAGGCAGAGCGGAAGAGACAAATCTTCCTGGAGTGTCACTTCAATGACATCGGACACCACCTGGGTCAGAAGAAGACTGTACACAGGATTCAGAGTAAATACTACTGGCTTGGCATTGTCAAGGATGTTGTGGATTGGGTATGCAGTGGATGCCATTATCCTGATGAAGGTGTTTGTTACTGTGATGTTTTTCATTTATTTCTTGGTGTCTACAAAGTACTGTATCTTGTGTTTCAGATTAAAGTGTGTGAAACGTGTCAGCATGCAGAGCGGAGTAAAAACCTGGCCAGAACAGTAAGACCCATCAAGGTGGACGGTCCATGGGAGATTTTGGCCATTGAAATAATTGGTAAAAGGGATTTTTAAGCATTCAAATCTTTTGGAGAAACACATTTTATAGAGCATGACAAGTCTGTTTTTGTTTTTCTTTAAACAGGTCCATTCCCAGGAACTGTACATGGAGGGAATACACACATTGTTATTATTACAGATTATTACAGTAAATGGGTAGAAGCCTTTCCTGTGCAAAAGAAAGATGGTCTCTGTGTTGCACGATGCATTTCATCATCTGTTTGCAGGTGAGATGATATATGGCACCCATAGACAAAAGCAAGTTTTTTTTTGTCACACTTGCCATCTGCTGGTGACTTGACAGTTTGTACTGGCCATAAATATTTTACCAGCCATGAAACTGAATGTGCATTATGTAAAAAAAAAAGAAAAGAAAAGAAAAAAGCCCAACAAATTGGTGAAGCAGATCTAATTTCAGTTATTATTGTTATTATTATTATTATAATTTTTTGTTATATTTATTGTATAATACTAAGATAAAAAAAAATCTTAAAATAAATGTTGATATATTCTTTGACTTTTAAAAATATAAACATCCATAAAGTAATTCCATTATACATTTACTGAACTGTACATATATACTTTATATAATAATAATAATAATAATAATAATAATAATAATAATAAAATGATAATAATAATAATAATAATAATCAAAAGATTAAGATTACATTAAATTAAATTGAATCAGAGGAAACTTTATTGTCATTACACATGTACAAGCACAAGGCGACAAACCAGCTCAAACCAGGAGTGCAACAGAAGCAAGTGCAGGATATAGGTATATGTTATAAAATTCCATTCTACAAAAACATGGTGATATTTACAGATGGATGTACTATGAACATTATATACAGGTTGTATTAAATATGAACAGAGTTTTACATAAGATGTATATGTGTACTGGTTGCTATTAATAATCAGAGGTATGCAGATAGATATGAACATAAATACACATGTATATGTAAAGTGGGTATGTGCAATTCAAAATGAATTTAATTTGAATTTCAGCACTAAATTTACCCCACACTTTTTAATGTTCAACAGAAAAGCCAGCAAATCTATTGAGGTAATAGAGCTTTTAATATATGGTAATTAAAGGACAAGGATACATGTAGTAATAATAATAGTAATATATATTATTATTTAATTGCTATTTTATATTGTCATTGTTATGTTGTTTACTTTTATTTGCTTTAATAATTATTTTATAATTTTATTTATATAGCCTCGCTTGAGCATTTATTATGGAACTTATTAATAATTTGCTTAAAAAAAATGTTTTTTCTGTCTCCAGATTTGGCCCTTCAAAGACAATATTTTGCTCTCAGAATGCTGATTTCTGTGAAGAGGTAACACACATTTATTCTAAATACCAAATGTTATTACAAAATTATAGTTTACCTTTATTTTAACTCTGTTATTATTGCTTATTTTAGGTCACGAAGCAGCTGTGTGAGCGGTGGAACATTACAGTGAGAGTGTTGTCTGTAGACCAGCCGCAGAGGAACGCACTGTATGACCGCAGCTGTAATCTACTAAGAGACACTATAAAACAGATGGTGGTGGAGAAACAGGTGGAATGGGATGATTTCTTAGATCCAATTTTGGCCGTCTTCAGGACATCGGTCAACCCCACCACTAAGTTTACACCACACTTTTTAATGTTCAACAGAAAAGCTAGCATATCTTGTGAGGTAATAGAGCTTTTTATATAAGGTAATCGAAGGATAAAGGATGTTATTTAATAAGCTAAACTAAATCTTTCTTTCTTTTTAAGACAAAGTTTGATCCTCTTATTTGCTATCAGGACCAGGAGGAAAATATCCGGAATGAAGACGAGGCAAACTCTTTTCTTTCCTCTATGCAGGACCAACAGAATAATGTCAAACAGATGGTAAAGTATGAGCAATTGTTAGCTTTTACTTATCTATCATTTTTCAGTCATGTTATTTACTCATAGATCCATTAAAGAAGAAGGGCAACAGGCGTTTATGTTAGAAAGTGCATTAACCATTGGCATTGGTTGGTGTCTGGTTGAATCGGCAGTGGCTAAATTGCATAAAAAAATTGTGTTGTAACATGATTGACCCAATTTGGCAGTTTATTATGAATTGACATTTAGAATACATTCAGTTGTTGGTCTGCACAAACCACATGAAATCGGATCTTTTAGATTCTTTTTTGAGTCACTTTAAAATATAGCTGTATTCACACATTCAGTCTTAATCTGATAATGTGTGTATCTGATTTAAATATGATTGTTTTTCACAATGTGTACCACAGCTGTTCAGATCAGATGCCAAAGAGCATAATGTACAACAGAAGTTTCAGTTGACGTCAGTCTCGCTAGAGAAAATGTCAAAGTCAAGCCGTACGGATCGTTCATATTGTGTATAAATGTTCATTGCCAGCCTTTCTATGAACATGATTTGATTATAACTGCAGATCAATAATCTAAATAGCCTACTGTAACATCTGCGATTATATAAAATAAACAAATACAGCATATGTGAACACATACAGACCCTTACAGTCTCCGATATGTTACCAATTACAGAAAAACTACACACAACATACATTTAGTCCTTATTTGGGTTCAAAAGCAACGCGCAACATATAGCCCACAGTTAGAGCAAACCTTTCATCTGTATCTTTAATCTTCACCAGCACATGTAACCTCTGTTAGAGAGTAATTTCGTCATTTTGAGTTCATAATAGTCCACAAGGTGATGATAATAGTTAAACAAGGCAGTTTTTTCATGTTTTAGGTTGCTGGAAGAATCATTTGCTCCTTTGTTTTTTTTAAACAATTCTTACTGCAGCCCGCAGCCTGATTATGTAGTTGACCTGGTTCACTAGTTAATGATCACCAATTCCTCCCAACCGTCACAGTGGCATGGGCGTTACCTTAGTGGGCGATACAAGGTCCACAATGTAGCTGACGATTGCCTACACCTCCCCTACACTAAACCTAACCATCACAGTAGCATGGGAGCTACAAGGTCAATTACAGAGTTGACAATAGCCTATGTCACCAAGCTGTGGGCTGCAGCGAGGTCATCTTGTTTCAAAAGAGTACCTAAAAAGTGGTACGGTACGGTTAGCTTTTTGGTACCTTTTGACAGTGAAAACGGCATTAAAAGTGTGCCAAACCGTATCTAACAATACCACTCAGTGGAAACGGGCAATAAAAGGCTGTCGATCAACTTGGCAATTTATATGTCGATTGACATTTTCACAATCCTGCACTGACTGGAATCACTCCAAAGATATTCTGTGAATGTGAATATTGAAACGACAACAATGATGTGATCAGATGAGGGACAGTGTACTGTTAAAATCTTTAATATTTAGGTGATAGTTTTGTACAAGCAAAACATACAAGACAATCAGGACATTGTTAGAATGCCGCTATTACACTGCTCTGGGTGTGTTTTCACATTGTGTGTGTTCACTGCTGTTTGTATGCACTTGGATGGGTTAAATGCAGGGCAGAGATTCCTTGTATGGGTCACCTTACTTGGCCACATCATGACTTTTACAAATTCAGCCTGTTTAAGCAAAACATATGTATGAATGTATGGTTTTTAATATTCAACATAATAAAGAGGGCAAATATCAGATGGTTTAGCAAGTGTGAATGCAAATGTGATATAGATTTTATACAACAGTAATAAAATCATATTGAGTGAGTTACATTTTGGACAAAGTATTGTCTGGAGATGAAAATTTTTTGTTCTGTTTAAATTTAATCTATTTTTGAATTAATCATTTGAATCATTGATTTATTCATAAAGCCAGTCACTGCATTCAAAATCGTGCTATATAACATGTATTACAATTGAATTCAACTTTACATCAAAACCATAAACCAATAAATGTGTATACATAAGTGTAACGGAGGCCAGCTAGTGAAGTGCTATGCAGGTAAACCTCACTCCTCTGACCTTAAAAGGTGCTTCAGCACCAGATGCTAGAGGCCATGGTCTTTAGCCTCCTTGTTAGAGCATGCAAAGTATACTAGTTCAATCCCAGCTCACAAGGGGTTGGGTGCAGTAGAAACAGTGGGTTATGGGGGGCTCGTCCGGGATGAGAGTGAGGTTTAGGGGGGTTAGTGTAATGGAGGCCAGCTATAGCGAAGTGCTATGCAGGTAATCCTTACTCATCTGACCTCAAAAGGTGCTCTAACAACAGATGCTAGAGGCCATGGTCTTTGGCCTTCTTGTTAGAGCAGCTGATTCTGCAAAGAATAGCCAGTTCGTAGGACCAGTGGGTTATGTAAATGAATGAATAATAAAATAAATGAATAATAAAATAAATTTATAAATATGTTTTAAACATAGTGTGAAAATAATTAGTATGAATCAAATTATGACTTTCAGCTTCTTTGTGTTTTTCAATTTGATACTCATTGAAACGGGGAGTTTTACTTTCATGTTTATGATACAGGATAGGTCTAAACCTGCCAAAGATCTAGCAGAAAACCAAACAAAAAAAAATTAAGGTGTTGCTTTCAGCATTGCACAGCCCCAGCAGAAACACTGACACTAAGTGGACTTCATGTTTGCTCCTAAGGAATGGATCACAAAATTATCATTGAGAATGGTGTGAATGTAGCCTATATTTACTGTCCTGTCATGTCATCCATGGTGCAACTACTTGGATTTAATCAAAAATCATTTTAGTGCCGGCATACATCAAATTTCAGATATTTCGAATCTTGATAATGCTGTTTTTGTCTGCACAGGTTATTACAAATATGAATGTTGCCTACAGACAAGAAAAGAAAAATGCCAAAAGGAAGTCTAGAAACATGCCCTCCATTACTCTCACAGTGGCCGAGCCATTGTTCAGCTCAGAGGAATCGCCTTCAGCAAAAAAGCTCAAGGAAAGCCTCTACCTTTCTTTTCCAGTAGAGACGGTCCTAACCACAGTCCAGAATGTACCCGACGCCAAAAAGAATGGCTTAGACTATCCTCTAACAGACTCTGATATGCACTAAAAATCTTTTAGATCCATCAAGCATTATATTTGCATAGACTACAACCTAAAGGCTTGATGTGTGCAAATGTGAAGTAGATGAACTCGTGCTGACTTTCTGATTCCACACAAAATGTAACAAGATTAAAATGTTGTGTTTTGGCTGGAAGGGTTATTGACATTGATGATGATCTTTGTTTGTGCTTGTTATTATGTTACAGAAAAGCTTTTTTTAAAATTATGTTAGTCTTTCACTGAACTACACGCCCAAAGAAGTTTGCTTTGCTTAGGTGACTCATGTCTGAAAGGACAATTTTTTTTAAATCTGCATTTTCTTTGGATGAGCCATTGAAAGTATTTGAGTATTATCTGAAAGAATGTTGTGTAAACATTAATTATGTATGAAGGTTATAATGTTTGTGCTCATTATCACAGCAAATAGTTGTGATTTTTGTATTCTGTATGTTTTTTTTTATTTCATTATAACACCAAAGTGCGTTTTTGTGTGTCTCTGACAAGTTAGTATGATCTTTGCAAAAAAAAAAAAAAAAAAAAGTTTAAATGTGCATCATTCCTTTACATTTGTATGTGGAAAAGAAACCTTTGATATGGGTATGCCAGTAAATAGTTATAATGTTTTAGATTTTACCTCAGAAATGATTTAGGCTCCATTCATGTGGTCCAGCAGTTGACCGTTTTCCTTTGTAATAAATGCATTTGTTAATCAGTTACACAAACGTATCTGTGGCCTGAACCTCTTGTGCAATTTCCTGTTTGCCTGTGAAATAACGGGAGCTGAAATGAAGGTGCAAGACTGTGGCCATGGGGTTGCAGCAGATTTCACAGTAGGGGCAAACCTCGCCTTGTTACTTGTCATCATTTAGACAACCTGCTAAGTGGCAACATGACTTTAAACTGAAGCAGTTTGGTGTTGAAACACAGTCTTTGATGAACTCACAATCAATCATGTTCAATTTCTGATGCTGAAAACAGAGCTGTGATTGCTACAACTTTCACAAAACACTATTTTATTAAGAAGAATGTGGAGGATTTTAGGGATGATGTTTTAGTAATATGTATGTAATTACATGATATTGTGGCAAAAGCCTGTCTTGGCCTCTCAGCCAGAGGTGTCCAAACTTGGTCCTGGAGGGCCGGTGTCTTGCATAGTTTAGCTCCAACTTGCTTTAACGTATGTTCCTGGAAGTTTCTAGTAGAAAGAGCTTGATTAGCTGGTTCAGGTGTGTTTAATTGGGGTTGGAACTGAAATATGCAGGACACCAGCCCTCCAGTACTGAGTTTGGGCACCCCTGCTCTAAGCCCATGTTTTTTTTTTTATTACTTTAATTTTTTTTCACTGCACTGATAACTTAGTGGATAACTTAGTTACAACAGAAAGGCCACTTCTTTAAAGTTCATTCAAAGTTAAACTTAATATTAAATTAAACTCCAGTATAATGTTAACTTTACAATGCATGTTTGGGCCCACTCAGTATTACATATTTAATATTTATTCAATGCATATTTATTCAATTAAATTAATACTTCTATTGCCTTTGAAATAGTGTTACAATGTACAGACAGTGCATGGTTATAATGTTTGGGCACTATAGATTATATACTAATAATTAAGCTCCATATATCTATAATAGGCTAGTGAATAGGCTACAGTATCTTTAAATGTTAAATAACACGCTATAGGTAAACTTAATACTTTACTTCTGTTATATATATTTATAACAATGTAGTTTTATTAAATGTTTATGTCTTCACTTTGTACAACAGCCAAAAGTGATGTTTTATTGGTCTTAAGGTTAATTAAAACCAAAATATGATGAACGCGTTGTATTGAAAAGAGGCATCAGTAAACTTTTTTATTTTTTTTTTTAACTCAGTTATTTAACTGACAACATTCTTGGCAGAAAAAAAAGGTTTATGATGGAAAATAGACTACAAATGGAAAAGAAAAACAAAAAATAAACACGACAACAGTAAATTATTAATATTTCATTGTTCCTGCTGCCACTTTCTAGGGTGTTCTTTTAAATACAGCAAATGGAAGAATTTAAGTTGAAGTCAGAATTATTAGCCCTTCAGAATTATTAGCCCCCCTGTTTATTTCCCCCAAATTTCTGTTTAAAGGAGAGAAGATTTTATTAACACATTTCTTAACGTAATAGTTTTAGTAACTCATCTCTTGCCATGATAACTGTAAATAGTAATTGACAAGATATTTTTCAAAACACTTCTATACAGCTTAAAGTGTAATTTAAAAGCTTAACAAGGTTTATTTGGTTAACTAAGCAGGTTAGGGTATTAAGGCAAGTTATTGCATAATGATAGGTTGTTCTGTAGACTAACAAGACAAAAAATATAGCTTAAAGTGGTTAATAATTTTGACCTTAAAATGACTTTTAAAAAATTAAAAACTGCTTTTATTTTAGCCGAAATAAAACAAATAAAACTTTATCCAGAGGAAAAAACATCGTCAGACATACTGTGCTGCTCGATTAAACATAATTTGGGAAATATTTAAAAAAGAAAAAAAAAATCAAAGGGGGGCTTAAAATTCTGATTTCAACTATAGCTTTACACTTTTCAAGCATAAACACTTATATTGTTTAGAAATTGTACATGAATGGTAGAGTATACATTTTCCAAGACCAAAAGTCACTTTTGGCCACAACTGTAGATATAATGTTATTTATTCATTTTTTTCAACTATAATATGAGAATATTTATTTAACCAGTAATAATATTTTCCCCACTGGAGTAATTTTTTTAGCACATTTATTTATTTATTATTTAGTAATATCAATTTTAAAAATGCCTGTATTTTTAAAAAGTTTACTTGTATTGTTTAGAAATTGTACATAAATGGTGAAGTATCAAGTATGAAATCATTTTGGCCACAGCTGCAGATATACATTTTAAAATATTTTTTTATATATAGTTATACTAAAATAAATATTAGTTTCTTCCCCACTGGAGTAATTTTAGCGTACTAAGATATAATAATTTATACAATAAGACCCATTTATAAAATACCTGTATTTTCAAAAAAGCTCACGCAATTTCTCCTCGAAATATGTAAACACTCAGGTACTTCGCCAATGTGACCAGAACTCTCTCTGATTGGCCAGTTGTCGTGGAGGCGGGGCTTCTACTGTATTCTTTCCCCTCTTCCTGTCATTGCACCGCGCGAGTAAGAAGAGCCGATGGATGGCTGGCCGGCTGATAAACTATAGGACTAAGATAAGTTTTATTTCCGTATCAACTGTTTATTTAGAATGGAAACAATGAGCTGGCGTTTAGACGGAAAATCTTATGATTTTCAAATCGATATTCTGTACTGTCCTAATGTATGAGTGCCAGGTATCAAGCTACGCACTGCACGCAGGCCAGCCGAAACAACTTGACATTGAAAAATAGACTCGCGGTTCTTTATTACTCAAGTCCAGCCAGTCCGGTTTCACGACGTGCTGCTGTCGTTACCATGTTTACCCTCCCTATAAAATCACTTACGTATAGAATTTAGCCGCTCACATTTCCATAGGAGAGTCAGTTTGTGTGTGTGTTTGTGTGTGTGTGGTGGAGCAGCCTCTTCAACAGGTGTAGGAAAATGAGGGTTGCTGTGATTGTTAGTTGCAACCTGGTTTTTACTCTAGTGGATATTGTGCTTACCACGGTCTTATATATACATGGATCAAACATTGATATATTTTCAGATGAAACCGAAGACTTTGACATACATCGCTCAACTGTGGACTTGTGGGGAACAGTTCTTATACGGGTCAGTCTTCTTTTCGGGGCTTCCATTGGTGTGTTCTTCAACAGGAGAGATGGCCCTCGGAGAGTGTCAAACCTGGGGACTCTGGTGGCTCTCATATGCCTTACCAACATGACTTACGCTTTGGCCAAGCTGCTGATGCTTTCTGAGGAGGGAAACCTGATGTATGACCCCTGGTTCCTAAGTTTGTTCTCCTGGACCTGCGTGGCAGCTATAGGAGTCATGATCTTCTGGAAAATTTTGTCGCAGACTCCCAATGCTGTGTCTGACAGAGAGGACAGTGAGGACACGGAGAGACTAGTGGACGAGACTGAAGATGAGTCTGAGAAGAGCATGAAATCAGGGAAAGAGCATACACATTCAGGGGCCACAATCGGCCGTCTGCTGTCGTACTGTAAGAAGGACTCCAGTTTGCTGAGCATCGCTTTCTTCTTTCTTCTCCTCTCAGCTGTGTGTAAGTTCACTCTCGACAGTTCTCACGGCTGGTGTTTGACTTAAACATTCAAAGAATTGTAATCAATCAGGTAAATATGTCATGTGTTCATTGTTATTTCACGAGTTAATCATTCGTGTTAAACACATATTGAATTTAAGGTAATTGCACACCAAGGCTGTTTACTCTGGCATTATTCAGTTTAAATGGATCTTAAACTAACAATGAACAATGCTTTTATTTTAATATAGCATTTGGGTATTTAATAAAGGGACTCTGACATTGAATAACAATAAATAAATGCTGTAAGAAAATTGATTATTGTTGCTTCATCATAATTTATAAATTCAAAACATTTATTTTCAATTAGATTTTTTATAGATCAACAGTTAAAAAACAAAAGTTATGTTAAATTAGAAATTACAATCTCTGTTAAAGGCATTCCCCCGACAATTCTCCATCATTCTCCTCCTCTCAAATGGGAGAGAGGGCCAAATCAAAGGTTACCAGGGCCATAGTTTGGGCATCCCTGCTGTAAAGGAATGTAATTCTGATTTCAAGTGTATATATATTAATTATTAGCCCCCCTGTTTATTTTTTCCCCAATGTCTGTTTAACAGAGAAATCAAGTCAAAACAAGTTTATAAGTTAATATAAATTTAATGGCATTTCACAAATTATTTATTTGATGTAAAAATGTTTTGTAGCATTTTAAAATATGTTATTGCCACTTTTGATAAGTTTAATTTATTGTTGCTGAAAGTAATTTTTAAATATATACACTACCGGTCAAAAGTTTGGTGTCAGAAAATTATTCTGTTCATGAAGGCGGCATTTATTAAATGTAAAAAAAAATGTTAAATTATAAAATTTTTATTAAAAAAAATTAAACAACTGTTTTTTATTATATGTAGTTTTAAATTTAATTATTACTTCAGCCATTGCATTATTACTATTACCATTGTTATTATTAATAATAATAAATATTTTAGTGATTTCTAAAGGATCATGTGACTGAAGACTGGAGTAATGAAGCTGAAAATTCATCTTTAAAATTATTGGAATAAAATATTAAATTTAATTATAAAATTATATTATTGAATTATTGTTATTTTATAAAATAATTATTTTAAAATATTGTCCCTAAACTATTCAACAGTAGTGTATACACATTTTCATATATCATTCTATATGATGCAATCCTTTTCATCTACACTATAGACGTTATGGATTTCCAAACCTAACGTTCAGAGTACAGTTAGTTGCACAATATTTCTGTGTTTTGTCATTTCTGTAATCTGTACTTTAGTCATTACATGCTTATAAACGCCTTGATGTCTCATAATTAGTAACTTATAATATAGTTTAACCTATTGTTCTAATCTTTAGTCTTTTTCTTTGATTTTCCTCCTTACAGGTGAAGCTTTCATACCTTATTACACAGGGCAAGCAATAGATGGCATAGTTATCCAGAAAAGCATGGATCACTTTGCCAAACCAATGATTACTCTCAGTGTG